CTGCAGCTGTTTTGGTAGCCTGGCTACTACAATTTAAGAATTCTTTAATTGCTCTATCTGCTAGAAGTTCAAACAAATATCATTGGTATCAGAAACTCATGTTTATTTATGGACCGTAAATTCCATGTCAAGCTAGCCCCTGCTAAGGATTTGCATTAGGTTTTGAAAATTAAAATAATCCATATTATGGCAAGTTTGTTACAAAGTATCTTTTAAAAGAAAAGAAAAAAAACCCTGTGATGTTTCAATCATTGCCAGGCTATTTGACATCCAAAGTAAATGTAATTTGCTGGCTTACTTCATGTGATCATGTCTCCCTCTACTGGCTTATTTTAGTAACGATGACAACCTGGTACTCATAGTTTAAGATACTTGCACATTTAGCTCAAATGTTAGTGATTTGTGCTTTAGGCACTCCAAGTCCAAGGTTAGATCACTGCTGATAACAATGTAGTCTCGATCAATATATATGTGGTCATGGTTCATTACCACCGATGGGACTTGAACTTTGTGGACCTATAGACACTGAGGAAAGCCTTTTCTAAGAGCACATGCATATAATCCATTGGGGTCTAGCCTTTTCTAAAACAACATCCATATAATCCAATGATCATATCTCTAGCTGCTGTTCTTAAAACCCTGATATAGCTGAAGTAATTATTCCTTTGGCTCAAGTGATAAGGTGCGTCTTTTGCTTTTCCTGCTGCAAGATCCAGGGTTCAATCACCACTAATGTCTATGTAGTCTGTGTGTATATGGTCCTGCTTCATTATGCAGAACTCCTAGTAAATAAAGAACTATTCTGAAATGTAACTTAAATTGCTGTGTGGTGAGCTGACATTGGTAAAAACGTCTTTGATTTTGCAAGAGTCTTCATTTTTGGTCCCCAGAGAGGCTAGCTCTCTTTTAGTCTGCAATTTATCAGGCCCCTTATTGGTTAAGGACAGCTTTACACTTGTGGGATTAATCTCAGAGACCACAACTGTATGTTTATCTCATTACAATTAATGTTATGGGTTTATTAAAACAAAGGGATACTGTATATTGAATTTTTCCAGTTGACAAGACTCCCACAGAGCATTACATCCTATCAATACCTGCATATACTGTGCTTGGGATGTCTAATCAATCAGCTGTTGAACAAAAGATAGGAATACCCAGAGGAAATAGAAGTCATGTGGACTTTGAAAATTCAGTACGGTCACAAAGACAATACAAGCAAAATGTACAAAAATTGTATCATACTGCTGGTATCCACGTCACTACAGGTGTGTCTCCACAGCAACTAGACACCTGTGGCTGGCCCGTGCCAGCTGACTTGGGCTCAAGGAGCTTGACACTGCGACGTGGGAGGCCTAGGGGAAAT